GTGGGTTACAGTGCTGTTTTAATGGGATCAGCAGGGCCTGCCAACCCCTTCTCACCCCTCAGGGTAGTAGCCATGCATGTAACCTGTGGGCAGGCCATGGCTGTGACTCCTCCTCAGCCTCTTTTGTGCTCATAGAGGCCTAGCCTTGCAAGATCTTGCTGTCAGCAGAGCATGGAATATGGGAAAGTGGAATAAGAACTGTGGGTTACAGTGCTGTTTTAATGGGATCAGCAGGGCCTGCCAACCCCTTCTCACCCCTCAGGGTAGTAGCCATGCATGTAACCTGTGGGCAGGCCATGGCTGTGACTCCTCCTCAGCCTCTTTTGTGCTCATAGAGGCCTAGCCTTGCAAGATCTTGCTGTCAGCAGAGCATGGAATATGGGAAAGTGGAATAAGAACTGCCTCATGGTAGGATGGTGTTGGTGAGGGAGCTTGGTGGTACCTGAGAGATCAGGTTTCTGTTCTTGGTGCTGCCTCTGCCACTGAAGTCCTGTGTGACCTTGCACTTCCCCAGCTGTGACTTAGGGATAACAATAACCCACTGTGCAGTAATGAGAGCCATAAAGAAATATTTGGAAAGAGAACGAAATTCTGATGCTAAAAGGAGATTCAAAAGGTGGGGAAGGAAAGGAGAATTTCTGGTATCTCCTGTCACCCACAGATGATCATCTGTGTAGTGCCGACATGAAATCTGGCCCCAAATTTTTTGCAAATGAACTGCGACTGGTGTAAGATCACAGAACTTTGATTTTTGTATAGACTCTGTAAAAAGTAGATACTTTTTAAACATTCATAATCCAGAAGCATTTCGTCCATATTTAGTGTATAAATAGTTGCTAATAAATAAAAATGCAGCTGGGGTACTTTTTATTTCATCACATACACTGCCTTCTTCCTCCCCCTTCCTGAAAGGCACAGATATTCTCTGTAATGTTATTCTTTAAAAGTATGCTATTTTAGTGTTTTGATTTATCTAAGCATTTCATAATCTTTAGTTCTCTTACATTTAAATTTAATTATTTGAGTAGTGAGTTCTAAAATGCCTAACTTGTCCTGACAGGAGTAATTATCGCTATGGTCACTTTTAAAAATATATATATTATATCTAGATATGTTGTTTCTACTGGTGATGCACATCTGCACATTCTTTGACATACATAACAGAATATATTTCTCACATGGATGAAAAAAGTAAAAGGCAACATGCCAGCAGTGCAGGTGCAGCACCATCTGAATGTCAGGCAGTCTGAGTCATAGAGTGGCCCATTGTCTGTTCTGCCCTGGAACCTAGAATTGCTGTCAGCGGTCCTTACTTGACTTTTGTCCCCACACCCCCACCTCCCTGTTCAGTGGGGCTCAGGATTTGACCCTCCTTCCTGCCTGAGGCAGCGAGGCTTGGGCAGGCTAAGACTTTAGTCTCCCTTCCCCTCCTGGGTCATGTAATTTTTGTGTCAAAAGGGGGTTGCTGTGCAGTGTCATTTGAGAACACTTACAATAGACTGTGACAGCAGTCATACTTGTTAGGCTCTATTCTAATAGAGGTCTGAGATTTTGTGATGGTCAAAATCAAGGGAGAAATTTATGTTGGAGGACTACTTTGTGTGTTCTAAAAGCTTAATGTGCCACAGATTTAAATAATAATTTACCAAAACCTCATGCTATAAAATGACACATTCTAAACTTTTCTTTGTCATCTTTATCATCTTTCTTGCCAGACATTTGTGTGAACAGCAGATTTGTCTTTACAGATTAACTTACTTCTGTTCTTTATTGGTTCATTCACTGATGTCTTAAATTCAGTGTCTGAGATTGCATTTCTTCTTTGAGTTTTGTCCCTGTAGGTGCTCCACTTCACATGGTGATGTATCCTGGCACCATCAATCGGAAGGCATCTTGTGGTGTTGTTGGTGCCACATGTAGCACGTGCATGACCGGTGCCCTCCAGTTCCTTTTCAACTGTTTTAAAGACAGAGCTCATGGGCAGTGTCAGCACTCTTCCCTAATACGTTTAGAAAATAGTTATTCAGATAATTCAGATAAGTAGTTATATAGTTAGTTAGCTTTAGTCACACACACAAAATAGTTGTGAGTTGGTTAGTAACTCCATCCCATCCCTTTTCTTGTTAAGCTGCTTCGGTCTCCAGGCTTCAAACAGTTCAGCTCCATTTCAGATGAGCACTTGTATGTATGGGTGAGGGGCATACCCCCTTCCTCCCCAGTGCTTCCACTGCAGCAATTTAAAAGCCAGCGAAGACCAGATGAAATAAGGCTCTACAGCTGAAAATGATTTTGATGGAGAAGACCCTCCATCTGGAGGCAAAGAAGCAGACTGCCTTCCTGGGCACTCCTCAAAATAGAAAAGGATACTTACCCTCTGAGAAGTCAAAAGGAAGGGCTCAAACATCTCTGCAGGGAACATCTCAGAGGCACAAGATGGGGGAGAGGACACAGATTGGTACAGATCAGGACATATCTCCTGCACACAATTCATCCTTCTTCCCAGATGAGGCTATTAAGCCCTCACCACCAACTTTGGCAGATGACTTTAAGCAGTTCCAGGAACTGTTTAAGAGAGACACACACAGCAAACACATCCTTTTAGAAGAGGTAAAGTCAAACCAGCACAAGTTGGTACAGATATTTTTACAACCCTCATCTATGCCCCGGATTGCTCTTCCCATCAATGAGGCCATCTTGGATTCTACAAAGACAGTCTGGCAGACACCCCTTTCTATTCCACCAACCTATAAAAAGGGGGATAGAAAGTATTATGCCCCATCCAAGGAGGCAGACTTTCTGTTTGCACATCTAGTCCCCCAACTCCCTAGTTGTTGATGCTGTAAATCAACGCAGGAAACAACCACATTTTAAAAAAAAATCCACCACACAACAAAGAATATATGAAACTTGACTTGTTCCAGTGCAAAGTGTATTCTGTCAACGCTCTTCAATTCCAAGTGGCCAACTACTCAGTGCTATTAGCCAAATGTGACTATGTCAGCTGTAGGAATCTCAACCCGTTTGTGTCAGAGCTCCCAGAAGAGAAACAAGTACAATTTCAGGCCAACATTAATGAGAAACATCTGATAGTCAAAGCAGCCCTTCAGGCATCACTGGACACAGCAGACATGGCATCCAGAATGACAGCCACAGCCATAACTATGTGCCATGTCTCATAGCTTCAGGCCTCAGGAATACCTAAAGAACTTCAAATGAAAGTAGAAGACCTATCTTTCAATAAGAAACAACTCTTTTCATAGAAAAGGAGGTGCTTCAGAGAATAATAGAACAGGAAAGAACCTCAAGAAGTCATTAAGTCCAGTCCCCTGCACTCATGGCAGGACCAAACAGCATCTAGACCATCCTGACAGGTGTTTGTCTATCCTTCTCTTTAAAATCTCCAATCATGGAGATTCCACAACCTCCCTAATCATTTTATTCCAGTGCTTAGCCACCCTGACAGCTGGGAAGTTTTTTCTAATGTCCAGTCTGAATCTCCATTGCAGTAGTTTAAGCCCATTGCTTCTGGTCTTATCAGAATATAAGGAGAATAAGTTTTCTCCCTCTTTCTTGTAACAGCCTTTTAGATACTTGAAAGCCATTATGTCCCCGTCAGTCTTTTCTTTTTTAGACTAAACAAACCTAATTCTTTTCTTCAATTCTTTCTTGTCAAAGAAAGCTATCAGATTGATTTGACATGATTTGTTCTTGAAAAATCCATGCTGAAGTGGATTTATTATCTATTACCTTATTATCTTCTAGATGTTTGCAAATGGATTCCTTAATTATTTGCTCCATTATCTTTCCTGCTACAGATGTTAAGATTGGTCTGTAATTCCCTGGATTGTCTTTAATTTCCTTTTGATAGATAAGCACTATATTTGCTCTTTTGCAGTCTTCTGGAATCTCTCCAGTATTCAGTGAGACTTTTGGACCATTGGGGATTTACATCCCCCTGCAAAGAAAAGAAGGTACCAACCATATCAGAAACATAGGGACTCTTCAACTAACAGACAACATTATAGACCGTCTGAAAATCAACCACACTGTCAGCGATCACAGCTCTGACAACCGCCTCAATCACAAGCGCAGACTTCCCAGTCAGCTCCTCCAAAACCACAATTCTGAAAATTAGCTGAGGGTTCAAATGACCTCTATCATGAGACAGTGCTTTCACTTACCTTTCACTGTTTGGCCATTGACTCTGGCCTTTTTACCACATCTGGGCCACCATAACATCAGACCAATAGCTTCTAGAAATAAACAAGTCAGGATACATTATCCTTTTTACCACCTGCCCCCCAACTTTACCCCCTTCCATGTCTCTCTTCAGGGATCCTTCTCACACGAAGCACTTGTTACAACAAAAAGTCAAACATAATCTATAACAAGATGCCATTAAACTAATATTGGTACAGTTCAGAGGAAAGGGTTTCTACTCCCATTATTTTTTGAACCAGAAGAACAGGGTTTCTACTCCCATTATTTTCTGAACCAGAAGAATAACAGGGAAAGAACATGGACTTGCAGAATCTCAACAAATTCATAAGTTCCCAGAAGTTCAGAATGGTCACATTGGGCACAATACTCCCAGCACTGCATCAGAGGGACTGGTTTTCAGTCCTCAGCCTCCAAGATGCTTATTTCCATATCACCATTCATCCAGCTTACAGGAAATTTCTGCATTTCATAGTAAGACAAGAACAGTTCCAGGCCAAAGTTTGCCATTTGGCCTATCCAGTGCACCAAGAGTTTTCTCCAAAACCCTAGTGGTGATGGCAGCACATCTTTGCAAAGAGGGAATAACGATTTTCTCCTACCTGGACAATTATCCTAGCAAAGGCTAAACTCTAAGACACACTGAATCCAATCCAGACTACTGTGTCACTATTCTGGGAGTTGAGTCTAAAAATAAATTAACAAAAATCAACTGTAATCCCCATCCACATCAGGGCTCACCTTGATGCCATAGAAGTGATGGTGTCATTGCCTCTTATCAGATTCACAAATCTTAAACTCATCTCAGAGGTACAAGTGAGTCCTCAAATTTGGGCTTGTACTATCATACAATTATTTGGATACATGGCAGTCATGATGTTCATGGTACAACATATAAGACTCCATATATTTGAAAAATCATGGCAGACAGGGGCATAGTTTACATACCAAGCAAACAGAATATACACTTACCCAGACATATGACAACCTACTCCAACATGGGACTTCTACCTGGTACTAAAATGCCTCACTACACCATCATTTGAACTATTAGCCGCCTGTTCGTTACTCCACTTTTCGATGAAAATAGCCTTCCTGGTCGCCATTAATTCTGCCAGAAGGGTGAACATAATAAGGCTATGTCTACATTGCAGCACAATTTTGGGATACCAGAGGTATCCTGAAATAGCTATTGCACGACTTTTGAGCACCTGTTATTTCAAAATATAGCATGACTTTTGAGCACCTGTTATTTCAAAATATAACAGGCTTGCTATTCTGACATCCCTGTAAACCTCATTCCATGAGGAGTAAGGGATGCTTTGGAATAGCGATTTATTTAGAAATAAGTGCTGTATAGACAGCACCAGATTTTGAAATAAGCTATGCAATTTGCATAGCTCAAATTACGTAGCTTATTTTAAGCTATGGGTGCAGTATAGAGTAGCAGACCCCCTCCCCCATAAACAACATTCTTCAAGGACAAGGTCATGCTTCATTCATACCTTAAATTCATACAAAAATGCTGAGTTTACTTCACATGAACCAACTTATTCATCTCTCAGTATTCTACCCTAAGCCTCATGGTACTCCTAAAAAATGCTGAGTTACTTCACATGAACCAGCTTATTCATCTCCCAGTATTCTACCCTAAGCCTCATGGTACTCCTAACAGAAGCTGCCCAACATGCTTTAGATATTAGATGTCATTCTACCTTAAAAGAACCAAACTTCTCTAGAAATTCCCTAGATTTTTCACCTCTATACTGAGGACTCGAAAAGAGACACTATAGCCAATCCGAGAGTATCTAAATGGATTTCCATATGCTATCATATTCAGGATACAGAACCACCAGAGCATGTTGGAGCACATTCTGCTAGATCCATTTCAACTTCAGTACTGTTCCTCAGTACAGTTCCAATACTAGAGATGTGTAAGGAGGCCACTCAAGACTCCAGACCTGATAGTGCTTACCTCAGTGATTCAAATGAACCTTAAGTCCCCCCTGGCCCTTGGAGGGGCATTACCCTACAGACCCCTGAAATGGAGCACCCACAGGGATGATACTCAAAGAGGAAGGAAATGCCATCTTTTGCAGTAACTGCAGTTCTTCGACATGAGTGTCCCCTGAGGATGCTCTTCTACCAGCCCTCTTCCCCTCTACTTCATAGTGAAGAAGGAACTGGATGGCTCAGATTGTGTGTGCACTACATGAGGCACCAATGGCACTGCAAGAAGCCCATTGCACATGTGCAACCCACATTGACAATGTTACCAATCATCACCAGGACACACTGAGCACCCACAGGGGCACTCATCTCAAACAACTCCAGTTACTGCACAAGTAATCTTTCCTTAACTGCCTTGGAAGAAATCATGATGTAAATAGAGAGAAAGGATGGACCAATGGTTAGGGAACTAACCTGGGCTCAGTTTCCTGCTTGTACCCCTTCTGCTGCAGATTTCCTGTGTGATCTTGGGCAAGTCACTTATTCTCTGTGTCTCAGTTCCCAATCTGTGAAACAGGGTTAAAAGCACTTTCCTGTCTCAGAGGGGTGTTATGAGAGTAAATACAGTAAAAAAAGATTGTTGATGTTAGAGTAATGGGAGCCATTAAGGTATCTTGGCTACACAGACGGATGGACAGGGAACTGCCCCATTTTGCGTTCCAGCTTTTCCCTCATTTAAATTAACTATGAATGTAATTGGGAGCAGGAATTAGCTCTGCATGTTTTGAATAAAAGGTATAGCAAGGTATTTCAAAATATGGAAGCTTTAGCGCAGGGGTACGGAACCTTTTTTTTTCCCCACTGACCCACAGAAAAATCAGTCGGGGGCTGCACACAAGTGAGAAGCCCCTGACTGAGAAAGAAAAAGGCACTCCTCGCATTCCTCTTGCACACCAGAGCCTAAGGGGACCCAGGCTAGTAGATTTTTTGTTCTCCAGGCCTGTGGGTGGCTAGCAGGGGGCTGGCACACCAGTGTGGGCTACCCAGTGTGGGGGAATCTCTGAGCCTTGGGGGCCAGATCCAGGCAAGCGGGGGGCCTCTTCTGGCCCCAGGGCCTGATTCTGATTCTGAATGTCTTTAATTCCCACTGAAGATTTTGGTAACAGAGTGCTGAATATTTTCTTTGGTTGGACCGTAAGTTACACGTTGCATTAATCAGTAGTTGAATCTTTCAGTTTAATATTTGAACAGTTCAGCATGAAGTATAAGGCATTTCTGTGAATAATAAACATACACATAGACTAACTTGGATAAATTTATAAGGAGTATCACCTATCACATTAGAGAACATAAGCTAATCACTAAATGTTGGGTTAGGAAGATGCCTAAGATCAAGTGTTAATATGGAGGGGCTGTATTTAGAGGGATGAGTTATCCCTTTACACTTGTGAGAGGAAGGAAATCACTTCGAAATGCTAGGACATTGGGAAATACTGCTGCAGTAATGGAGGGTAGTTAGGAAAATGCATTCTCTTAATTGGCTGTTCTTGTTGAAATCTTCCTAGCAGAAATAGTTGTTTTAAAAATGTAGTTATTTGGCAGTACAACATGAAATGTACTGTCTTTATAAATGTATTTTGTTTTGCATATTAATCATGCTCTGTTTTGCAGGGAAAACTCTTGAAGAGCAAGGTGTGACACACAATGTAAAGGTCATGGTGCTTGAGCTAAAACACAGTGAGGAGGAAGCCAAAAAAGAAGTTCGGGAAGAAGAAATGAAACATGAGGAAGAGACCATGAAGGAAAAAGAAAAAACTGAAAGGATGCGAAGAACTAAGAAAGGTTTAGAAATACTGGCAACTAGAGGTATGGGAGTTTTACTCTTACAAGCAGTAGAAGATATCAGTATGAATTCGGGATGTGTTAGTGTATTTGTTTAAATTGTTAACCGATGAGCCTGGGCTCATCAGTTAACCCTCACGGTTACATGCAAGGGCCCTCCCACTACCTCTGTATCAGAGGCAGCAGCTGGGGGGGGAGGGGAGAGAAGATGAACAGGTGGGTCAGTGAGAGTCACTGCTCACGGGGAGCTGTCTTTCTCCTTCCCCCTCGACCCCCCTACCCCTCCGTATATAAACTTATAACCACTGAAAATTTCAGCAGTTATACATTTACAAAAAAAATTAACATTCCTAGTATGAATTAAAAAACCCCTTCTATGTTAAAAAATAAGAGAAAGTAGGGAGAGTAGCACACCGTTGGATGTGACCTAATCATATCTAAACAAGGTCAGACTTTGTTGTGCTTGGATGAGAAACTTCTAAGGAAAATGAAAGTGCTGCAGGAAGGGGACTAGTTCATTTTTTCTTTCATTACTAAATCGATGCTGAACAAATCCATTGTCCTGATCCTAAGAGGCACTATGCTACTTAGAGATGCTATCTTGCAGATGAAATGTAAAACCAGTTTAACCTTTTCTGTTTAGTCTTTTTGTGACTCTTAAGGGTGTTAAAGCCAGTAAACGCTGATTCCAGTTTGTGGTACTACATTCTGCCTACTTGAAAATTGATTTCTCTGATTGGTTTTAGTATTCTTCACTTACTGTCTTAAAAGATCTTCTTTGTATAATGCTTGTGACTCAATAAGAGGGACAAGGTGGGTGAGGTAATCTTTTATTGGACTAACTTCTTTCATACTTACACAGAGCTCTTCAGGTCTGGGAAATGTACTCAGTGAGTCATAGCTGAATATAAGATGGAACAGATTGGTTAGCCTAAATTGTTAACACATATTTCAGGGGACCATCCAAGATAAAGTGAGTCCATAGGGTGTTTTGAGAAAAGTACTGTATGGATCTGTTAAATGGGGCACTTAAGCATTAAGATACTGGTAACTCTGGAAATATGTTTTGTAGTTACTGCAGTAATAGCTAGGCCAGAATGATAAATTGTGCCTGTCTCTGTAAGTTACTTGTATTATGACCATAGGGACCATGGTTTCACTGTGCAAGGTATCATTCTGATCATAGTGTGGCAATTCTCTTCTCCATGAGTTTCGATGGAGACTGCTGGCAACTATGGGCCAAGTTAAAGAAACAGTCAATTTGAAAGTAGTCATTTTCAAAATGTGAGTTTCTTATTTTGTAGTTTTAAATCATTACTATTTTTTTAAAATAATTCCTAACTTCTGCTTGAAAAACCCACAAACAGGAAATTTAAATATTGAATAGTCCAAAGTCCCGTCAAATGTAAAAAGGATAGACAAATTTCCTCTAATTTTCTCTTACAGTGAGTTTCTTACAACAATAATAGGTTGGAACAAAACATGTTAGTAGGTGGAAATGCCCCTTTGTACTGAACCTGTTAGGCAGCTTAGATTTCAGTTCGTCACTAAGCTCTTTGCAGATGGATCTTTGCATCAGTCCCTGTAAACTTAGCTCCAGAAATGCCACTAGCAAGGTCCTGAGCAAGTTTTGTAGAAAAGTAACAACAAACAGTCATTGTATGGTGCAGCACTAGAGTTATGAAGGATTTGTGGGAGGACTTCACTGGGTAAAGTGGCGAGGAGTCCTGTGGCACCTTATAGCGAAGGATTTGTGGGAGGACTTCACTGGATAAAGCGGCGAGGAGTCCTGTGGCACCTTATAGACTAACCGAAGTGTTGGAGCATAAGCTTTCGTGGGCAAAGACCCACTTCGTCAGATGCCATAGATGCCGTAGGACTCCTCACCGCTTTTTCAGATTCAGACTAACACGGCTACCCCTCTGGTACTTCACTGGATAAAGTGGCAGGCTCAAGGATCAACCCACAAAGCTCATTGCTAGATTGGGACAAGTCAATGAATGAGAGAGAATAAGATGGAGTTGAGAATCTGATTACCTGCATTGAAGAAAGTTACAGGCCAGAAACTTTGCAGAGCTTTCCCTGGATGGCATTGCTATGTTGGCAAAACATCTTTTCAGGTAACATTTAACCAAAGCAAACAAGAAACAGATTGTTGAGTTGCAAGCACTAAAAGGAAACCAAGGAAAATAAAATATTTAGTTGATAAAACCATAGAGAATAAAGGTCATTATTTTATCTTACTGTAAACAGTCTATTAAATGAAATGCATTATGCACAGTTGAAAATGCATGTGTTTTCCTCCTGAATAAGTTCTTTACAAAACACACAATTTAGAATTTCATTCAAAAATTCAGGCTTGAACTAGGGAGAGGCCCACATCCTGCAAACAGCTCCATAATGGCTATTCATGGATCAGATGTTCTCATTGCACAATTGGTGCCCTAATAAATAACTCTTTGGAAGTCACATACACTATTCTTCTACTTCATTATTTACAGTTTTTTCTTAACAGGTTTATTGATATGGTTTTAAGATTCTAATCTTACTTAGTTCTTATTGTTGAGGCATTGATAATAAATCAATGGACATTCTTTGTTTATGTTGCAGATGATTACTTAGATCCAGACACAACTCCATATCTAGATATAGCTAATCAAACTGGAAGATCTATCAAGATTCCTCATAAAGCCAAAAAAGTAAGTAGCATATAAGGAAGACAGTATTTAGTGGCCTTTTAATCTTCACGTGGTACTTTAAGTACTATATTGAAATGGGCAAAACTGTTCCTTACACAACCTCTGTAGGGGCTAGCAAAAACTGGTTACTTAATAGAAGTGGTCTTCTGATAAAGGTGAAGCAGTGAATTCATGTAAAGTTTTACTCTGTTTGCATTTCGTCTTCATGCCTGGAGGCATACATTAATTATGTATTTTACACAGCACTGTTGTAGCTTTGGGGTGCTTTTGTTACAACTATATAAAGAAATCTCTTCATTAGATCTCAGTCTAAATCACAAGCTACAGGGAAAATGCTAATACAGGCAGTCCCCGGGTTACATGGATCCGACTTACAGCGGATCCCTACTTACAAATGGGGTGAGGGAACCCCGCATTACCTGCTTCCACCCAGCAGACCAGGTAGACGCGAAGCTAGCGCCCCCCCCAGCAGACCAGGGAGATGCAGAGCGGCTTTTCTCAGCAGACACCTCAGCTTGAGAATAAAGGACTGAGGGAAGTGAGGTGTGGGAGAATAAAACTGAGCTCTGGAGAAATGTTTGGCTAGAGTTTCCCCTACAATATGTACCAGTTCCGACTTGCATACAAATTCAACTTAAGAACAAACCTACAGTCCGTCTCTTGTACGTAACCCGGGGACTGCCTGTAGTTAACTCACCGTCTGATTAAAGAGGTATGTTTTGTGTCTGGAAAGTCACCAAACCTAGGCCAGCAACTTACCCAGTAGAGCCTCATGCAGCCCAGGAACCACAGGTTGCCCAGCACAGTGGTAGACCACATTTGGGAGCCTTCAACTGAGAATGTCTTGTTACTGGTCCTGGATAATGATACTCCAGGAATTGACAGCAAGAGCAGTTTACTAGATCTTTATTATGGCAGAACAACAGAGGAAGAGAGAATCATTTTAGATGACTGTATCTTTCACTGACTTAAGAATCATAAGAAACCGCTACAATTGCACCTAGAAGAAGCAAAGAAGTAGCTTGCATGCAGCACCACTGTAATATGTTAATTGTGACCTGATTTCCTCACATAATGCACAATGTTATTCTGCCCCAGCTAGTATTCCTGTATATTTGGCAATCCCAAATAGGTAATAATAGCATAGGTACTGCATGTTCTGGTGCAACACTGCAAGAGATGAAAAATCACCATAAGGATTTTATTCAGTGCTGAGCAGAGGAAAATCTTGTAGAATGTTTAGATAAAATTTTATTTATGATGTGATTCATTGTCTTAGTGCAAGAACCAGAAAGTATTCAGCAACATTCACTATTTCTGTCATTTAATTTAGTAGAATTAAAAAATTAAGATTAGTTTTTGGCAACTGCATCACAAGATTTTTAACACCAGCATAGAAATAGTTGGTATTAGTTGGTTATATGTGAGCACTGGCTGAGTGCTATTCTATACTTTTATGCTCAATGAAATACTTATCCTGTTTATCAGCAAATTATTGAAAATATATTTAGAGTTGCACTTTAAAAGTAAACTAACAATAAATAATAAGGCTGCTGAAATATGTATCAGTAACAATCATTTTCATAATAATATGGCTTGATGGAGTGTTTTTCCATGGACAACAAATAATGTAAGCTTTTCTGATGACATTTCTTTTTAATTGTGAACATAATAAGAGTTTAATATATTCTTAATCCATTTTCATAGTCCCTTCTACTAGCTATGGGTTATCATGAAAAGGGCAGAGCATTCATGAAGAAAAAAGAGTATGCTGTAGCACTGCCATTCTTGCTGGATGCTGATAGACACTTTCGGTAAGAACCTTATTGAATTGTCATGTAGCTTTTTAGAGTACCTACCAGTTATGGGAGCAGCATAAGTCATACCACGCAACATACATTTTACATTAGTGGATTTCGACCTTTTTTTCATTAATGGACCCCCTAATTTTTTAGTTAAAAGGTTTTCGTCTTATACTCGCCTTATAAGACTACCCCCCCTTAAGAGGCCAACCGGCAGCGCCCCAGCGCCCCTCCGCCTCCCCGGCTTTGCTCGAGGTGTCCCTGGTCTGCTGGAGACGGTCCCCAGCAGACCAGGGGCACCGGGAGCAAAGCCGCAGCCATGGCAGGGTCCGGCGCCTCTGAGGCTTTGCCTCCTCCCCTGCTAACACTTTCTTCCTGCTTTTTATCAAGATAGTCAACAGATGGGCGAACTCATCCAGCCTCTCTGCCCAATTAACAAAGTCTTCAATCTGCAGTTGCTGGGGAAACAGACAAAAGTGATCAGAGTGTGGCCCATCTTTGAGGCCTCAGCACTCTGTCACAAGCACTTCAATGTGTCCAAAATGAAGAAAAAAACACCAAAATGTCTCAAACACTTTTAATGAGCAAAGCAATCCAAGAACTGGCCAAGCCTAATAACAACCATCCAGGAGGCAACCCTACTTCCATCTCTCCTTATATATATATTAAAAAATCAAGGCTCAAGGTGGCACAATAAAACTGTCATAGAAAAGGAAACTCACCCCAGGATTCACAAGTCCCATGCTTTTGCCCTAAACATGGGATCAATGCCCCACATTTACCACTGACATCTATTGCATATAGCACAGAGTAGGAAGACCTTGTTGCCATTGGATGATTTTAAAATACTGTCTTTTGAATTATGGCAACCCTAAATATCTTATACGCCGGAAAATACGGTAGTATCATGCAGCCCTCTTTGATGTCCAAAAAAGTGGTGGTCTCCCCATGGGCATGTCTACACAGCAGGGCTAATGCCAAAATAAGCTATGCAACTTGAGCTATGTCAATTGCGTAGCTTAAGTCGAAATAGCTTATTTTGGCTTTTGGTGCTATTTACACAGCAGGAAATCCAAGTTAGAGCACTCTTTCTCCAAATTCCCTTACTCCTTGTAAAATGAGGCCTCAGAGTAAGAAGTTCTCCAGCTCGACCTTATTTCTTGCTGTGAAGACATGGATAATGTTATTTTGGAATAACATCAGTTATTCCGAAATAACACTGCTGTGTAGACATAGCCATATGTTTCTGCTATACCAGTATATTCTGACAGACTTGCCAAGGAGCACAACTTGGATCTTTACATGCCTCAGTGAAGATAATTAATTTCTATACCTTCACAAAAGGTTACATGGAATGTTGTAACTCCATTATACTTTTAAATATGCCATAATCCCAGGGACTCTCATAACATGTGAACAGAGCATATTATTTTGATAAATTAAAAAGTAATTTTGTATGTTACATTTATATCAGTGGGGTGATCTGACTGTAGACATTTTTTGGAATGTGCGTGGTATATGCGCACACATTTTCCTTTTCACATTTTTCTGTCCCAGTTGTTCAAAGACAGTAGGCAATGCAAAGCAACTTACTTTATTGTTGTTTTGCAGCAACTGTGGCTCAGAACTTCTGAATACAGTTGATAATTATGCAGTGTTGCAGTTGGATATAGTATGGTGCTACTTCCAACTAGGACAGCTGGAATGCCTTGATGATGCAGAGAAGAAGCTTACCACCGCCCACAAATGCTTCAAGAGATGTTATGGGGAAAACCATGAAAGACTTGTCACAATAAAAGTATGCTGGCATGATTTTACGGAAGATGGTTTTGTTTTAGCAAATGTTCATTCTTAGTTCTAGTATTTCATAACTTTTTTAGGACTATAAAGTTCTCATATGTCCCCTTTAACCTTTACTTTTCACTCTTTCTAGCTGTGTAATTATCAACATTGTAAAAGCATTGGACATGCCTTGTGAGAACTCAACATAGCTGCTTTTCCCACTTCACTGTATTGTTCATTTTCATCAAACTGCATCACATTTCTGTCTAATGGGGAAATAGTGTTACCTGCCTAATTCAGCATATATATCACGTGTTGGAATGCCTTCGTAACTATTACATATTTAGGGTGACCAGATGTCCCAATAGTCTCTAAACCATCCAAGCATTAGGGGATTTGTCTTAGATAGGCAACTGTTACCCCCATCCTGATTTTTCACAGTTCCTCTGTATAGTATCACAGAGTACATTTTGACCATACACACTTATCTAGTCATTGGACTAGGACACAGGAGAACAAGGTTCTGTTCCTGGTTCTACCACTAGTCTGCTGGGTGACTTTGGACCAGTCATTTCATCTCCTTGTACTGCAGTTTCCATGTCTGGAAAATGGGGGAAATTATACTTCCCTCCTTGAAATCTACTGACTAAAAAGGTGGTGATGGTAGTAACATGTTGTCTTAGTTCTTAATCAGAAGACAGTGTTCGTATAAATGGGCTAGAGGCTTCTGAAAGTATTGCTTGAAGTAGTATTAAACAAAGGAAAGTATTTTTAAATGTAATTGTTACCCTAAATTTTGGTCTCACATTTTGTAGCTTTCTTCTTCTACTCTAGTTTTGAATTATTTGAGGCCTGCAACATGAGTTTAAGAATAAAGGAGTAGTCTTTCACTGCAGCACCAATTCTCATTAACAAAGCCGCACAGTTCTCATTAACAAAGCAAACAAATCTTTTCAGAAAAGTACTAGCCCCAGTTCACAAGCAGGAGAATGATTCTGTAGGCTTCAAGGGGGTTCTTGCAGGCATGAGGCAGGACTGACCAGATGAACCAATAGACATTAAAGATCTGTAAAAGTGAAGTCCTCCTGCAGGAGGAAAGACCAGGAGAATCTTTCACATAATACTGTGATGTGAGAAGATACTTATGTTTAGAAATATATTTAAAAATGAAGAGGAGGGGGAGAGAGAGTGTGTTTGTGTGTGTGCATGCGTGCGTGCATATGTAGTGGATCCAAAAGAGAATCAAATTTGAAACTTTTAAAAGTTTCTTCAGTTTTAATTTATATCAAATGATTTCTAAATGTGTGATTAAGGAAGTTGGGGAGGTCAGGTTGTTTTGTTTTTCTGCTTCTCGGTCTGTTTTCTATAGCATAGTGCTAGTAGGATTTAAATAGCTTTGTTGGATTTCTGCACCTGTGTGAAGTCCCACTGTAAATTTCACATGCACAAATCTCAAATCCTTTTAGAATGTAAGGTTTTTCACCTGCTTTTTTGAGTGCCATGACAGTGCACCTAATAGACTATCACACTATTACACATTTGACTTTTTTTTTCTTTCTTTAAAATTTCTTTAGGGAAGTTATGGGAGTGAGAAGGTTTTATTTCTGAGGCTTTACCTCCTTCAGGGAATAGGGAACTATCATAATGGCAGAGAAAAAGAGGCTGTTGAACAACTTCAGAAGGTAAGGCATTGCACTAAGCAGCACATCACATTATAGGAACTTTTTTGGAAAAACAGCTCATATGTTTTGCTTGATCTTGCATCCTCCTCTCTTCCTTTTGCTATTCCCCTCCCTCTGATGTACAGGGAATTTTAGAGGAGACCTTTAATATAGATGCCAGTGGTGGGATTTTTTTGATTGTTCTGTTCTTTCTACAATAGGCAAATAGTTTGTATCAAGAGCTCTCCATAGATCCTGAAAAAATCAGTAGCTTGTTACTCCTGGGATTCTCTGCGCAGGAAGCTCGTCTTGGTCTACGAGCTTGTTATGGGAATTTGGAGAATGCTGCCAGTCTTATTACCAACAAAAGAGAGGTATGGTACTGGGAAAGTATTAAACAGGGCTTTGAACAGTATTAAACAGGTCTGAGTAGTTATATTCCAGAATGTACATCTTACGTATTTGCCAAGCCATCAACTCCATGTTGGTATGCATGGTGGAACTGAATGATTTGTCATGTGTTATTGAAAGTATGAAATCGAAATGTAAAAGTCTCCGGGGTAAATTATGTCCCACCTAACACACATGTGCAAGGCCTGAAGAAGTAGAACTGCCATGAAATTGAAGAGGCGCTTGAGGATACTTTGTGTCAGTTTTTGCCTCTTAACTACATTCATTGAGAGGACAGAGCGGGAATCCAAACTACACAGGTTTACCAGCCAAAACTCCCATTTCAGGGTTGGCTGGTATGACCGCTCAGAGGCTGCAGCTGTGGCCACAGATTAGCTAACTCTCACTGGTGCATATTTTGGCTTTGAATTAGGAATGTGGGTGAGGGGAATATTTGATTTGTAAGCAGGGGATGCGGATTTGGCACCATATATTTCTAAACATTGATACAGTAGTCAAATGGAAAGAGACTGAGCTGAACTCCTTGGTTGATTTGCTAACTCTGATGCTGATTGTCCAGCCTTAGGCAAGTCACTTGACTTACCTATGTACCCATCTGTAAAAGTAATAAAATATCTACCTCACAGGGATCTTAGTAGACTTGATAAACTCAGGCCTAATGCTGAGAGAATCCAAATCGTAAAAAAGTAAACATAATTCTGGGATGCATTAACAGGAGTGTTGTGAGCAAGACATGATCAGTAATTCTTCCATTCTACTCAGTGCTGATTAGGCCCCAGCTGGAGTATTGAGTCCAGTTCTGGGTATTAAACTTCATTAAAGATGTAGACAAACTGGAGGATGTCCAAAGAAGAATGACAAAAATGATTAAAGGTCAACAATACATGACCTATGAGAGAAGATTGAAAAAACTGAATACAAGGAGGATGAAGATAAATTGCCCTTGATAACCTTGGAGGATAGGACAAGAAGCAATGGTCGTAAATTGCAGCAAGTGAGGTTTGGTTGGACATTAGGAAAAACTTCCTAACTGTCAGGGTAGAATAAAATGCCTAGGGAAGTTTTGCAATCTCCATCATTGAAGATTTTTAAGAGCAGGGTTAGACAAATGTTAATCAGGGAGGGTCTAGATCAGTGTTTCTCAAAGTGTTCCATGGGCCTGTGCCACTTTGTTTACCTAAAGAATCCATAACCGTGAAGCCTTGTGGTTATGGCTCCGATTTGCCATTTCCAGCCAAGGAGAACTATGGGAAGTGGTGTGACCTGGGCCACGGCTTCCTGCAGCTCCCCTTGGCTGAAAACAACCAACCTGATCCAATGGGAGCTGTGAGGAACTTTGGCTATGGACCCTTTAGGTAAACAAAGAGGTGTGGGCCTACAAGCGGCTTTCCCAGAGCAGGGCCACGGCCCACTTTGAGAAACACTGGTCTAGACAACACTTAGTCCTGGCAACAGATTGAACTAGCTGACATCTCAAGGTCTCTACCAGTTCTGTGAATCTATGGGCACAGACTAGATACAAAATGGTGAAATAAGATTACAAAGTTTGTTAGTGTGGGTACAGAGTTATACTGGAGAAGGAAATTCTTTTAAAGATCATTAAGCAGCACAAATTTGTTTTAAAAAAGTTTGTTTTCTCCTTGGAAAACTTGTAAAGATTAAAAAAGTGTACAGAATAAATCATGTATGCATCTATCAAAGAAGTAATGGGGCCGTTTTCTAGTAGAAACTATTCTTAAACAATACTTAGATTTGTAATGACCCTGATTTTACAGGAAAAGGCACAAATAAGGAGAGAGGAGAGAGCTAAGAGGAGGAGGAGATTGGATGACATAAATACCTTGAAAAGTATGGGCTATTCAGAATGCGCTGCTAAAAAAGCACTTCACCAGGCACAAGGGAACTTGGACCAAGCCTTTAAGGTAAATCTCTTTCAAGAATGGTACTCTCATACAGTATACCTTTTCCACTGGAAGCCATAGAAATATGCTGACAAAAACATTCTTTTTTTCTTTTTCTATTAACAACTTAATAAGGCCTAATCTACACTACACGGGAGAGTTGAAGTAAGATACGTAATTCCAGCTACGTAAATTATGGAGCTAAGAGGTGACATATTTTAAATCCCTGCCCACACACCAGGAGGTTGATGGGAGCAAATTCACCCATTGGTTTCCCCTCCTCCTCATGAGGACTAGGAGTACCGGCGTCAATGGGGTTGCCCTTTGATTTCAATCTAGTAGGTCTATACTAAACCTGCTAAATTGAACTCTGGAAGATCAACTGCTCATTAGGCATGCAAATGAGTCTCGGCGATATTCCACGCTTAGCCTCGTTTGCATACTTCTGACGCAACAACCCGCTAGTGTAGACATAGCCCTTGTGTGGGCATCCTGTATTTTGAATCACATGATTTTTTCCCTCCTGTTTGGTGAGTTACATAGTTTCAGAACAGATATCAGATATTTTACAGTTACAGAGCAAACACTAAAGTAGCACCTTAGCGTGTGGAATACAGGTAGTATAAGTACATGCATTCCATAAAGTCTAAACTCTAAACACATTTTTATAATCATTATATCTGTTTTAACCCTAGTAAGCCACAGATAAGCCAAAATGGTTTCCAGCTGTGCATTTGTCAGTGTTCAGTGAGGCCCAGGGCCCTGGCATGAGCTGGCATCTGGTCTGCCAGCATCATACAGACTAATTCTTTTTTAAAACACAAATGCATCTTTATAAATATACCAAGATCAACACCTGTCTCAACTTCTAGACATTTTGACAAAACTTAGAACACAACAGATACAAAAAAATAAATTCAGCAGACTAGTCTTACTTACATATCAAAGATTAATCTACATAAAGACTAAACTTACAAACACACTTCTGCCCCTAACTTACCAGTCCTCAGCCTTTTTCCCTTCTAAGAAAGCCCTGAAAGCTAACAAATTATGGCTATTCTGAACAAATGGGGAAAATGAAAAGCAAAGGCAAAGGGTTCCAGTGCTGCTGTGATAGTCTTATACTAGAAGAGGAAGTCCCAGGTTGTTTAGTGTAATGCAGTGTTCCTTAAACAGTGTTCCGAGGAATACCGGTGTGCCGCGAGGCACTCAGAGGTGTGCTGCGGAGAACAACAGAATTCAAAATGCCCGCCCCCCTTTTTTCTCAACAAAAAATCCTTGGTGTTCCGCATAAAAAAATATTGTTTGGTGTTCCTTGGTCTTAAAAAGTTTAAGAAACACTGTTGTAATGTAAGTCATAACCAACATCTTACACAACCTAAAAACTAATACAAATTCTTAGATCTTAAGACAGAAGAAGTCTCTTTGATCATCTAATCCAATTATACTAGTGTCATGTTCTCTCTCTGAAGAAAGGACAAATAGTAGCATTTTTGTTTAGACAGAGGCTAATATACATGGATACTCTATTTTCTAGATGTAAATTACCGTAGGATGCTAACTTTCAATTTATGGATATTTCCATATAGACACACTTGGACAGAAGTCAGATAAAATCAAAAAAAGATTTTGGAGGCAGGTCAGATTGATTTATGTTGAAAGACTAAAAGAGCACAATAAAATACTGAAACTTGACATACACTGCCCTTAATTTATTTAACCAATTGGCTTTTAGTATGCAAAGGGTATAAACTTAAATTCCTCTCTCATTGAGAGTAGTATAAGTGGGCTGGTATTAGGAATCCAGGCTGATGATCTGCCTAACTTTCCAACAGTGAGATGTTAGACACTGAAACAGTCTTACAAGGCAAGTAGTGAAAGACTAAGACATGACATGAGGTATCTCAAGATAGTTAAGAGAAAATTTACTCTAGAGAACAGCATGGTAAGGTATTAACTACTGTACATGAGATAATTAGTCTTTTCCAGTTTCTGTAATTGTGTGTACATCACTTTTGAGGAATACTACAGCCTTCTAACTTATACTGCACGCTTTCTGCTTTAGGTTCTTCTTGATAATCCTCAGTTGTTGTTGCTAAATGATGATGATGGTATCACTGATCCTATGACCATGCACCAGTTTCCAGTTCCTAAGGAAAGTATTGACCAAGTAAGTTACCTGTTTTTGTTTCTTAAAGATAAAGTGTAGGTTTGTTTTTTGAAGAATCAAGCCAGTTTAATTCTGAAGTCTCCTTCCATCTCATTGTCTGTTTAAACCCACCATATTAGATCATCCTTTGCAAAACCACATATATGTTCTACTCCCTCCCCTTCTGCCCCCGTCACTTGTCAAATCCCCACTCATCTTCACCTGTCACTTGATGCAAACAAAGTTAGTAATCCTGGGATGTGAATACACAGTATAGAGGTCTTGGCTTCTTCTCTCATATGGAAGTATTGAGGTGGAGGCAGGGGCACCATTTCAGATTTTGGTATGGGGAGGTAGCTACATGTGTAAGCCAGCTCTGGCCCCAGCTCCAGTCGTCATCACGTGGCCACAACTCCTGCCACTGTCCTAGCTCCAGCTCCAACCACTGTCATGTGGCCTCCACCTCAACCACCACCACGTGGCCCCAGCTCCAGCCCTGGCCACATGGCCTTAACTCTGGCCACTGCCACAACTCTGACCTCCACCCCAGCTGCTGCCACCCTGGCTCCTGCCCCAGCTCCTGCCACTGCTGTATGGCTCTAGCTTCCCACCCACCAAGCCCCCTGCCACCAGCTTACCTTCCACATCAAGAAAGGGAAGTGCTGCTATGTGACTCTGCTGAGGAGGTGGGCGGGATTAAAATTCTTTGTGTGCACCCATGCAGGCACCCATCCTAGAGGGAACTTTAGGCAGCCAATTAGTAGTATGCATGGGTGGGTCCTTTTGTTCTGCTTGATGAGCCTTCATTTCTTTTGCTTCAGTGAGCAAAATGGAGGAGGAGGGGAAGAGTAAACAAAGAAAAATACCCATGTTCCTCTCACTCCTGGCTAGGGAGGGGAGGCAGGAGATAGTATCCTGCTACAGTGGGGTGGGGGAGTGGACTGCAACTCCCTAGGGTCCCCCAAATTGCACTGATGGGTGGAGGTAAAATTCTCTGGCTGTTCTAGTTCAGGGATAGAAAATAAGAATTTTTAAAAGAAACCTTCAATATCCTGCAATATTTAGACAAGTCTGGGAGAAAACACTTCTTTTGTATAGGCAGCTGCCCTAGTCTAGTGCTGTTCAGAAGTTAGTGCGATGTCACTGGGAGCATGCTGGGGCATCCATCAGTACATGCCAAAACAGAGGACAGCACTTCAAAGAATCCATAATAGAAGAAATAAACAGGCACATTCAGATTGCTTATGTGTTTAGCGTGCTGTAGACTGTATAGACAAGCCGGTGTCTCCGACTTAGGGGTGGTTTTTAATTCATTTATTTGTGTATTTATTGTCTAGTTGGTGTACATGGGTTTTACTCCTGAGTCAGCGGAGGAAGCGCTGAAAGTCTTTCAGGGCAACATTCAGTTAGCGTCACAAACGCTTGTTCACTATGGAGGAGTTCTTCCTACTGAGCTGCAGCTGCCATCAGGACAGACTACTCCATCTGAAGAATCTATTTCATCAAAAGATTCTCCCACAGAGTCTGCAGGTAAGACTGGCTGAGTATGGCAGATATGGAGGGGAAAAGAGAGTGATGGATGAATATTGACTACATTGGAGGATTACTTTGAATATATTAAGAATCACTTAAGCTTTTAGTAGCGTAGTGTCTACTAGATAGATGTTATTAGGAACAGGCTAGCTGAGTGAGAGACCGAGAGAGAGAGAAATGTAGTCCAGTGCTGCTGGGAATGAAATGACTGCTTTAAGATATCAGCTCTTTAGCTTTGCAATATTTAAGATGCAGCCTTCAGAAAGACATGCTGGTTTTCCAGTAGAAGAGCCAGTCTACCATGGAACAGAGTTAGTAAGGTCTGGAAAGATGCTGTTTGGTGTTGTATCTTCCATGACACAGCACAGAAAGTCAGTGTTAGCTTATTATATGCAAAACATCTGAAAAAAAAGTCTCAGAAATGCTTGTGTGTTTGAATCCTAGTGCTAAAGAATCTCTTGTCCCCTGCACTCTACCTGTGACACCAGCTTCCCCCATCCATTTGTACCTTCTGTATCAAAGGGGAAATATGGAAGAACACCTTTTCCCAAACTAGTCCATAAAGCAGTTATCCTTTCTCCAAATCCTTCCTTAAGACCTTTCTTCTCTGGCGCCTACAGGAAATTGCCAACTTTTAATAGCTATGTGGATGGCCCATGGGACTTTCTGATGTCTAATTACCAAGCTTTTCTTTTTGTAAAAAGTCTCAGAACCATCAATCTGAGTCTGTAGCTGC